GGTGTCTGCAATAAAATCGATCAGTTCCAAAGAGTTCCGGATGGCTGGTATTCTGTTTCTGAAACACAAACCACTGCCAGTCAGCAAAGCTTTTTTCGTGCAGCAATGAAGCGTAGGCAAAACAATCTTAGTGGATTTAGAATTGCTGTTGGAAGCCCGGCGCCAGCCCGCCCGGGGTCATCAGAGGCTGGTGCATGGACAGGAGTGCTTCAAGCAGCGCCGTTCCCACTTAGGTCAGTGACGCTTCCTTTGCCGGCAGGCATATGGGAAAGTGGTAGAATCTTGGTCACAGCTGCCAAATGTGGCCTGAATTTCGTCCATCATGCTACCATATACTGCCCACCAAGAGGCCCAACATATCCAAAAGCCAAAGAACTCAGTGAGGCCCTGCTCAAGCCTCTGACTGAGGAGCTCGTAGTTGGGCGCAGAGGTCCCCGAATCATTTCAGGAGACTTCAATTCGGCGCCCCTCAGTCTGGAGGCAATGAAATTGTGGAAGGAGGCTGGCTGGGTAGAAGCTCAGGATTTGTTTAGATCCAGAGGCATGTGGGACCCGGTGCCCACATGCAAAAATGCCACTCGACCCGATCAAGTGTGGCTCTCTCCGGAGATAGCGCCTTGGGTAGTCAACGTCGGAGTTGGTGACTGGTTTCCAGATCAAAGCGCTACTGCTGAGGATTAATTTTCCTACCAAGCTACAGGTGGAGTCGCATTGGCAGATGCCGGTAAGGCTCCCTTGGCAAGACATCGATGCTGAAGCCTTAGATTTGAAATGTGCCCAGTTGCAGCCGCTTTCGAGCCACATGCCAACCACTGAGGCGCTCAAGACATGGTGTAAAGCATTTGAGAAGGTTGTCTCAGAGTCCACTAAGGACCCATCTACTTTTGCTCCGGCCATGTTTGGTAGATGTGCCAATGTCAAGCCAAGGGTCCGTCCAGCCACTATGTTTGTGCCCAAGACAAGTCGCCCAGGTGAGGCGGCAATAGCCTCGGGGTTTCTGAACAGAAGTGCGCAGTTATGGTTCCAGCAAAGGCGTAGATTTCAGGCACTTCGAGCGTCGTTTGCCAAGGGTCGATTTGATCCACAAGTCTGTTTGCATCGCCAACAGCTTTGGAACTCAATTTGTTCTGCAAAAGGATTTGGAGGGAAATTTCGCAAATGGTGGCCTCACAGACCGAACCAAAGTCAGGGTTCACCCACGCAATTGTCCCTGCAACTGCCAAGATTCGAAGAGTTCCAGCTAGTTTATGAAGATTTTGTTGACAATTACCAAAAATTTGAAAGTTGGAATGTGCGACAAAGAGCAAAGGTGATCACGGCAAAGGCTCAGGAGCTTCATGACAAATGCTTTGAAGTAGTTCATAAAGATCCGAAAAGGCCGATTGAGGTGCTAGTCGACTCCATCAAACAGCCAATACAAGTGGAAGACAGCATGCAGTCCCTGGTTAGTGTACCTTTTGATTTTCCTGCACAAGGTGTCATTGAATGGAAGCTCAACGGAGTGCCTGCGGTAGTCAGCCCAGTGTCAAACAAACTTAGAATTGACACTGATCTCATCCTGTGCTCTGGACAGCAACTTGAGGCCAAAGTCCTGGTGTCTGAAGTTTCGCAGATTCATGACAGGCTTGAATCTCTGTGGAGCGAAAGGTGGCAAAAGCATGCAGATTGTGAGCCAAACAAATGGGACAGAATTCTCAAGTTTGCCAAGGCATATCTGGGGAGATCAGCTTTCGATCTGCCGCCGCTCTCTTATGAAGCGTGGATAAGTGCAGTCAAAAACATGAAGGTCAAAAGTGCAAGGGGCCCGGAGGGCTTTAGCCGAGAAGACCTGCTTAGGATGCCTCGCTCTGCCGCGATGAACCTTGTCGAGATGTTCCATGACATAGAGCAAGGAAGAGAATGGCCGGCGCAAATGCTGACAGCTCTAATACACTGCCAGGAGAAAAAGCAACACGCAGAAGTTGCAGGGGACTTCCGTCCCATCACTTTGTTTGCAACGAGCTACAGAATTTGGGCATCAGTGCGTTCCAGGCAGATGTTGCAAAAGCTGTCATCTTATGCAGATAGTGGTCAGTTCGGCTATATGAAAGAAAGAAATTGTCAAGACATCTGGTATTTGCTGCAAATGGAAATAGAAGAAGCAGTCACGCAGTCCACACCGCTCAGCGGTGCAGTTGCTGACCTAGTCAAGGCATTCAACCTGCTTCCTAGAGTTCCTACGTTTGCAGCACTGAGTTGCCTTGGTACACCTGGATGGTTGTTGACTTGCTGGTCCAACTTCCTTCAGAATCTCACAAGGTCTTTCGTTGTGAGAGATGTCTGCAGCCAGGGCCTTAAGTCACACACAGGCTACCCTGAAGGTTGTGCCATGAGCTGCGTGGCCATGGCAGCAGTGGACTTGTTGTTACATGCATACCAGAAGGCCTTCGCAATGAGAACCAAAACGCTCTCGTTTGTGGACAACATCGAACTGGTCAGTTCTGATCCGAGGCAAGTTGTCCGAGGGCTTGTAACATTGCGCACTTTCTGTGAGGCACTGGATCTTGAAGTTGATGAAAAGAAGCTGTATGTCTGGAGTTCGAATGCCGCAGACCGGAAAACTCTGAAAGAAAATAATCTGCGAATTCATTTCTCGGATCGAGACCTTGGAGGGCAGATGTGCTACAGCAAGTTAAAGCGAGTCAAGGTGCTCACAGATCGTCTCGAAGGGTTGCAGATCTTTTTTCAAAAGTTGAGAAAATCCAGGCTTGCAAATCCTCAAAAGCTTCTTTGCATCAGCAATACATTGTTGCCTCGAGGACTGTATGGCTGCGAAAACATCCGAATTGCACGCAGCCATATTGACAAGTGTAGGACAGGAATCATGCAGGCGATGAAATGGAACAGAGGTGGTGCCAGTCCTCTAGTTCGACCTGCTCTTCTTCTTGCCGAAAAGATAGACCCAGGTTTTGAACAATGTTGGAGGGTTATAAAGCTGTTTCATAAACATTTCAAAAGCAATGCCGAAGTTCGTTCTCGATGGATGCTGTTTTGCAACAGTGCAGGTAGCCAAGGCTTTGGCCCGCTTGCAAAACTTGCTGAACAGTTGCAACTACTAGGATGGGCCGTGGACAGTGTAGGCATGTTGACCATTGAGAAAGGTTTCTCGCTGCACCTTGAATCCATATGTGAGTCCGGTCTCTCCAAGCTAGTCTCTCATTTTTGGAGGCAACATGTTTGTAGTAGGCTTCGGCAGAGAAAAGAATTTCATGACTTGGATGGGATTGACATCGAACACATTCATGCGATTGATGCTCGTCACTCCCCCATTCAAGTTGAGCTTTTGAACATAGTTCGTGAAGGGGCTTTCATCACTAACTGTGCCAAGTCCAGATTCGATGCCAGCATTCGTTCTAAGTGCGTATTCTGCAATGCCGAAGACACACTGCAGCATAGATATGAAACCTGCTCCAAATATGATCACCTGAGGTCGCAGCATGGGGAGCTTTTCTCAATCTGGGACGCACTCCCAGACTCGCTGAGGTACCATGGACTGCCACCCGCAAACCCATGGCGTACTCTCGCCTGGGAGGCTCTCGAAGCCCTGGGTAAAATGCCGTGGAAAAAGTATGCAGATTGCCCAGCGCAGGGCATTGTGAATGTGTTCACTGATGGTTCCAGTGATCAGAGTGATGAGCCAGCAGTAACGCTGTCTAGTTGGGCTTTTGTTCATGCTGAAGCTGAGGTGTGTCCAGCGGCAGGCTGGCTCCCGGGACATAAGCAGTCCATAGGCCGTGCGGAACTGTTCGCCATACTAAGGGCGCTTTCGTGGTCAGTGTATCTCGAAGGCCAATTACACTTGTGGTCTGACAATGCTGACGCAGTTGACGGCCTTAGGCATCTGCTATCTGAGGGAAGTCAGGACCCATCCAGGTGCAATGAGGACTTGTGGTCTTCAATCCAAGCTGTGTTGAGAGCTCACCGTGCTTTGATATGCATCCACAAGGTTCGATCTCACATCTCAGATGATGAGGCCACAGATCCTCTGTGTCAATGGACAAAAAAATGGAACGATTCAGCGGACCTTGCCGCTAGAACAATCAACCAATGCAGGCCGTCTTGGTTCACAAAAGTCTGGAATCGATATGAAACGCATTGGTGGCGCACCAGAAGAGCATGCAGCCTGGTTGCGGATTGGCACCTTCGGGTTGCCGAGCTAGATATGAACATGCAGGCTGAGGTGCACAGTTCTGTAGAAGATGAGAATGACGATTTGGATGGGTGGCGAGAGTGGAGTGACGAGGCTGTTGACTTCTTGTGCGATCCTGACCTCACTCCTGGTTGGGAGTCACAGATCCCTGAGAGTGGAGAATTCGGCCAGACTGTTTTTTGTGCGCTTTACCAATGGTGTACGCAGTCTGAGTCAACTGCATCAGGCATAGGGACCATTTCTTTGTTGGAGTTGTACGTTGATTTTTGTTGCTTTCAGCTTGGTGGTAACATGGTCATGTCCCGGTGCCAAAACTTTAGTTTGAATCCGTTCTTGCAAACCACTTTGGCTGCAGATTTTCGTGTTTTTCGGTATCTTTTTAGGGTCCTATGTGGTCACCTGAACTACACTTTGACCTACCGAAAGGTTTCCCTTGAGCATCTCCGAATATATGCTAGTGTTGATGCTGTTCGTTTTCCTTGTTCGCCTGCCAGGCTCAGGGAGGTGGGTGAGGTTTTGTTGCGCTTTGTTGGCTGCAGGCCAATCAGAAATGCTCAGGGATTTAGTCGGCCTTGGGTGCCGGAGGACAGAAGTGGCTGCTGAGCAGCGTCAACCTGCGAGGTGTGAACCCTTCGCTTAGCTAAGGGTTTCAAGGACGCTGCTGCGCAGTTAGAAAAAAAAAATATATATATATTATATATATACGTAGGCTCTGGGTGGAGCAAGGCCAATTTCCAGTTCTCATGATCTAGGGTCCTTAGCAACTAATGGGCTTGTTTTCAATCAACAACGATGCAGCGAAGCTGCCAAGGACTTGCTGGTCCTTGATACTGCGAAGCGGCCATTGCTGAGCTTTTTGCTACGATACAGCATTGGCACAGAGGACCTGGAGTTCCTCTCCGAGATCTACTGGCCCCTCAAGCGATCGAAAATGGTACACCCTGACGAACGCATCATATGGTGGAAGTGGATGGCATGCTTCCCTTGGAAGACTATACTCTCCTTCAATGGAGAGGTGGTAGGTGGTTTTCACTCCACTTCAATGTGATGTGTTCGTCAGAGGTGTGATTCCCTGTGTAACGCTTTGTTTTTCCTTCACAAACCGCGCCGCTGTGCTGCTTCATTGCCAAGGTGACCCACCGGAGATCGATGTCGACCAATAAAAAACAGCCGCCGCGCGCCCGCCGTTCTTTTCCCCTGTTTTGTGCGGTCTCAAAGCATCAACCGGAACATCAAACGCATGTTTAGAAAAACAAAAAACACTTAGCTTGGTCTCTTGTGTGATGCTTTTTGAGATGGCAATAGGCATCAGTAAAAACACTTCTCCACCACTGAGGTCTTTATGGTGCCTCTCACAGGACTCCTTAGATCAGCACCGAGGGGCTTATGACAAAGCTCGCTGGGTCTTGATCAAGGCTTTGGAGGGCAAGAATCTCGGAGGTCAACAGGACGAAATCCTAGACACTCCATGTATTAGGGTCAATGTATGTAAATCTGCCATACATGGAGTGTCTGGGTATGATTGGGATTATGGGCACATAGAGGAAACAAAAATGGACGCTTGTGGCTGTGACCAGCTCGAGTTTTTGACATCAATTTGTCACAACTACTTGCCAAAACCCCCTTTCACTCGTGCCTCAAGGACGCTATGATCTGTATTTGTCATGTCCACCATGTATTCTGATCGTTCAGTGTGGCCTCCACGTGACTTCCAACCCATCGGCCTTCCGCCGGTTTCCGCGGTCCGTGGCCACACGCCGACCTCCGGGGAGTCGAAGAACGCCGAGGATCGAGTATTGGGATTCGGTACGGGGCATTCCCTTGGAGGCGCGGCGGACTGACGCTGTGACCGCGGACGGACTGACGCGGCGGACCGCGGCGGGGACAACGGAAACCGTTCCCAATGACTCCAGACGTCCAAGAGTTCAGGCCAGTGGTGGTGGTCCCAGCGGGAGTAAGCATCAATGGTCGTTTGGATGGAGTGTTTTGGGTTCTTGGGCTCCGGCGGTTCGGCCGGGGGTCTCCCCTCTTCAAATGCACAGCCAGAGGTGCTGAGAGGAGTCGTTCCTCTCCCAGTCGCCCGAGATCCTCCACGCCTTCAGGCACCGGACGACCTCGGTGGTCCCTGCAGCTTCGGCCAGCGTGCACTGGCCCGGCTGGTGCAGCAGGCAGCCCTATGGCAAGAGACACGTGAGCTGGCGCGACTGGGGATTCAGACCGTGCCTTGGTGCAGGAAGAGCTGCGGATTGTAGATTCACCGGGGTGGAGAAGAGCTGGGACGCTGCCACGGCAGCTGGAAAGATCGAGTGTTTTGGAAGGCTATAACCGACCAAAGGTCGGACGTGTCAGACCAAAGCGCTGTAGAATGGTCAAGTCATTTACTCTGCGTCTGAGAGGGAGGTCCTTTTATATAAGATAATCATAGATAATCCGTAATTAATTATACATGTGCATGAGTTTGCACGTAATGCAATATTAAACACCATGTACCTTTTTCCTGTAAGGAGGAGCCTGTGTTGGTACAGGGTAAACAGGTGCCTGGATTTTTGTTTGTCAGCGGTTGGTTGATGTGGGTCATGTCAGCGATAGGCTGATACAGTCCTGGGGTTGCCAGGCGTTTGTCAACGTGGGCTGATGAGTTTTGCCTTGTTACCAAGGGGGATTCTGGTGGCTACCAGAGAGGAATTTGGTGCCAGGCTGAATGACATAGCCAAACCCAACAACGAGGGAAAACAGAACTGCTTGCGCGCCCAGGGGTTGGAGGGCGGGATTGAGCTTCTTGGGTTTTGTGTGTTTGTTTGCCTTTTCCCGGGCCCGGGGCGAGCGCGGCGATAAGATTCCGCCTCTGGCTAGCTTTGGCTAGCTGCTAGCTTTTGACTGGCAGCCCCATCCCCCTGGCCTCAGTGTACGTAATGCAATGTAATGGCTGTTGTTATTGCAATAATTGCTATTAAGTTATTGTGTTGTGTTGCGTTTTTAGCATGCATGCAATGTATGGGTTGTATGATGTTGTATGTATTGTTTGTATTGCATGTGTGCAACGTAAGTATATAGTATAATAATACTTAATGTATAACGTGATTTCATGTAATGTATTGTATTGTCGCTTCATGCCATGTCATGTGATGTAAGTAAAACTAGATAGTTAGTCGGAAAGATGTATATAGAGACACAGAGACAGAGACAGAGACAGACTGACAATAAAAGGCGTTTTTCTCACACTTGCTGGCTTCCTGTTTGACCTGCATCGCCGCCCCAGGTCGGCGATGCCTCCGAGAAGACCCGCGCCGTGCAGGAGCGCCTGCAGCAGCTGGCCACGGAGACACGAGATCAGGTCGCGCTGACACGTCCGGTCACCCGCTCGTAGTCCAACTTGTTGTTGATATGCTTGAACAATCGCATTTAGTTCTTCTGTTTTTGACTTGGTGGAGCGTATCTTCCCAGCTTTTGAAATTCATGTTCGGTTTGACCGTATTGACCGTTTTCTGGTTCGGTTCAGGCGTTTGGTTAGGATATCGGAAGAGCAGCTGGGGCATTCCAAGCTTGGGTAGACATCGATGAAGCACACGGCCCCTTACTGTACCCACTCACTTGGTGACTCAAAACCAACCCCTTTTGTGACTCCTGGTTGAACGAGTTTCTCGTGAGCCTGCTCGTGATTCGGAGCAGCGAGCCTGGGAGTGACTGGGAATCGCAACTCTAGAGCGACCAGTGTGGTCGCTCCCCAAAGCATTGGTTTATCGGTCTCCACATGGCAAGCACTGGCACGGCTGTGACGGTCGGTAAACAATGATCACTACCTATACCATCATCATCCACTGGGCCCAGGGATATACCCAAAGCATAGCCTGTAATTTATAGACTCTTGATCAGCCCCCCCCGCACGGCTGCATGAAAACCCCAGGTTGGATTGCAACTCTTGTTTCACTTCACCTTTGGAGGGGTTTACTTCAATCAAGAGATCGACATGAGCCAATGGCTATATAGCTCTCCAAGAACTCCCGAGCTCGGGCCCGACCGACCACCCTACTCCCCGGATCCGACGATCCGACACCGTCTCTACCGCGTCCGGGGGGTCCGGGGTCCGGATCGGTTCCCAAGAACCGGAGGTGTGTGGGCTCAAGGGGGCCCGGACTCTTCTGTCCCTAAGGATCCAAGTACCCTCTGAGAAGGTGTTTGGGGTGGGTTTGGAGGGTCCAAGTACCTTTTGAGGAGGTACTTGGATCCCTAGGGTGTGGACTCTCGAATCCTCGAAATGAGTGTTCCAGTGTGCTTGACATGGTTCGGGTGTATCCTCGAGTTGCGTGTTCCAGGTGTTGCTTGACATGGGTTTTTGCTGTTGCACCGTGTTGCACCGTGAAGTGGTTCTCTGGAGGTGAGGTTGGAGGACTTGGAGGACAACTATTTCCAAGAGCTGGTCCAATTAGATCTGAAACTCGGATGGATCTGTTTTTGCGTGTTTGGGGTGGAGGTGGAGATTCACCACTTTCACCACCTGGTCACCTGGTGGCTATGGTGGGGATTGTTTTTGGCGAAGTGCGCTAAAGAAGTGGAGGAGAAACCACATCTTTAGTAGAGAAAATATGGCCTTAGTTGCAGGTCATGCCATCCACTATGCCCTGGTTCCGGGACGCACACAGAACCTGAAAAACAGGTGAACTGTTGCTTCCCCAATTCTCGACTTCTGTGACGCTCCATGTTTCTCCGAATTTGTTTTTGGGTACTTGGGCTTGATTCGACACGCTCTTTGCTTTGTTGTTGTTGTTGTTGTTGTTGTTGTTGTTTGTTGTTCTGCAACTTTTTTGTTGTGCAATTTTGCGCATCTCTCCTTGCTTTTGGCCACCTCGCAATGTCCCACGAGAGGTATGCCAGGTCACCCTGAACGTTCGGACCGCGCTACAGGTCAGCAGCGCTCGAGGCGGTGAATCTGGTGCATCCGGAGGAGCGACACCGCAGCCGTAGAGTACCGCAGCCGAAGGGGAACAACATGGAACCACCATGGTTTAGTAGAGGAACATCGAGGAGCATGGATTTGGGGGGATCTATGTCATTCTTTTGACTTCCGAGTTCAGGGAGTGTAAACCCAGACGCTCCAAAGAACCCTTGGTCCCTCAAAACCTACCTGCTACCCTGGATAGATACCAATTCCAGTCCAGGATGCTAAAAGATAGCTTTTTGCAAGTTCTCGCAACATTTACGTTCATCTTGTGAATTTACGTCCTTTTGAAATGCTGAACGGTTTTTCACGTCCAAAGCCTAAATACAATTGATATATTTGAGTGTTGTGAAAAGACCAAGTTCAGCGATTACGGTAAAACACGTCCCGGACAACAATTCTCGTCCTTGCATACCAAAAGACAACAATTAGCGACATGGACAACAAAAGGTGGTTATAAGGTTTAGCAGGTAGGGATTTGAGACCCCAGACCCCTCCATACGAAGGCCCATGAGCGTTTGGGCATGTATGTAATTCTTCTTCGTTCCGTGGATGAGTGCCGATGGCTTGCCTGGACCCGACTGGAGACCACAGCACCAAGAGACCTGCTATCGGGCCCTTGGGAAGCCGAAAAGACCTGGTGGAGGGTGCTGGTTTCATTCGGGTTCATCGGGTTATTGTGATGGTTTCATTCGGGTTATTGTGATGGTTTCATTTGGGTTAATGCTGGCTTTTAATTCGGGTTCAAGACCTTCAAGTACCCAGACGCTCCGTTCACAGCTCTTGGTACCTCAAAACCCTAGGGATTTGAGACCCCAGACCCCTCCATATGAGGGCCCAGGGTCGCGTCTGGGTAAGTGTTTTGTTCATTGGGGTGAATTCGCTGTGGATCGCTGTGGTCGCTCGCTTCGCTGCGCGAGGATCGGACGCGTGCGGGTCCGACTCGTTATGCGATCAGTTGGGTGAATGCAATTTCCCAGACGCGACCCTGGACCCGAATCCTTTGGAGGGGTCGGACCCGAATCCTGTTGAAGGGGTCTGGGTCGAACCAATTCCCTAGGTTTTGAGACCCCAAATGCTGTGAACGGAGCGTTTGGGTTGATGTTTTTTTTGTTTGTGAGGCAATACTTCTGCTCCACACATGATGCGTTTCAGTGTCTCACTTCGACACTTGTCGGAGTGACGGCCCAGTGACGGCTCCCCGAAGCGTCAATCGTGTTGCCCTGCCCACTGCCCCCCCCAAAGAAACACAAATACAACATAAACCATGAGTTGAACAAACCATGAGTTGAAAACGGCTGGCTCTTAGACCTTGAGTGGATCATGGGCACCTATGGGCACCTGTATCCTCCATAGCATCTTGGAACTGAAGCACCAACCTCTTTGTGCTGCCCTAAGAATCCTCTCCTTGGGCCCGGCCCCGTTCGCATCAGATCGCAGGGGTCGGACCCTCCCTGAACCAATTGGACCGTCCGGACCCGAAGCAAGGCGGGACCGGTCGAAGCCCTCTAGTTCACGGTGATGCGGATCCTTAGGGCCTTAGGGTATATGATCGCTAGGGCTCCTGGCCCACCTCCTGAGGTTCGATGGTTGGGGTGGGTGCCAGGGGGGTCGAATACCACCTGAGGATATGGAAGAGGATATGCCAGGAGCCCTAGATATAGATGCCACCGGACATGGCCGGCCAGGGCTTCATCACCACGCCGGTCGATCCGGGCGTGCGCTACTTGGGCTTGTCGGCTCAGGAGCTTGGGCCTCCATTCGGTGTGTCCAGCCACGGAAGAAGTCCCCAAACAGACCCTAGCCTTCAAAGACCATTAATAGAACTGTTGAGCTGGTGGTGTAGTGTAAAAATCCTTAGTAAAGCAATGGTTCTTTGGTAAAGACCATTTTAAACAATTGTTGTTTGAATCCTATGGTAGAGACGTGGCACAGCACTTTGAAATGATGGCAGGAGCTACGTTCGTAGCGTCCGATCGCTCCGTTCGTAGCGATGCCCTTTGTTCCTAGTAGCTTCTTGCCCCTAGTAGTAAGGCCAGGAGCTACGTAGCGTCACGCGTCCAGATTACTTTGCTCAAAAAATTCACCACTCTCCAACATTTGGACAGATTTTTGATGGTTTTTGCTTTGTCCTATTAACGTGGTGGCCTGGAGTGAAACCCCCCCCCCCTGTTTGTAAAGGAAAGGAGCCTTCCAAAGGACCATGCCATCCACTTCCAGTCAGAGTGTACCTCTAGACCCATGAGCCGTCAGTAAAGAAGAACATCATAGAACATCACTTGAACAAGGCCTGCAACTGAACCATCATCATCCACTGAGGCCCTGGTCATGCACCGCCCACTGGGCCAAACGGACATGGAGACCGGAAAAGATCACATGTTTCGCATCATTTTCGGCCTACCATAGATGGTGCTATAAACATGCTACCTTTTCGGAAAGGCACCATGGTCGTTGCTGGATGCAACCCGTGTTCAGACTTTGTTTGCCACAAACAACTGCCGCCAAAAAAGGCACTGCAAGCTGTTGGTACAGGACTGCCGGATTCTGAAGTCCAATGCTGCACCTTTGCTACTGGAGTCTTTGTCACTCAGTTCTTCTACTGAGCCCAAGCGAGAGAAGTGCATGGTGAAGGTGGGCGACGACCTACGTGCCTTGGACGAAACTTCCCTCCCACAAAGGCTCCAACTACCTTCTCAGGAGGTGGTTGAGGTGTTTTTCTTTAGGGGCACAGCTGGAGGCTGGCCAGGTGAGTGTTCTGCAAGTGGATTCAGCCTGGTATTGGGGCTTCTTGTGGAGTCTGAACGGGTGTCATCCTTCCTCTCAAGTGCAGTTCCCGCGCGGGTGCACCCCCCGACGCTGCGCCAGAACGCCTTCGGGGCCAGAAAGCACACGTCGACTCGGCCAGAAAGCACGGAAGGAACGTGAATGACACGACCTGTTTGGCCAGAAATGGGTGTCCATCCGAACATCCGAGACCGATGCCAGGAAACGCGATGGACCTTGATGATTCCAGGGAATGGCATCCATTGGTTCTGAAGGGCTTGAGATGTGCATGATTTTGCTCAAGGGATTGGCATGGCCCATATTGCCATGTTCATCATCCAGATGCAACGGTCGAGTCGAATCAGACAGTCATGACCTGTGGCTTCCAGTTTCCCACACGGCATGGGAAAAAATCAAGGTATGTGACCAGCAACTTCGGATTTTGGTTGGCATGGTCAAACACTACTAACCTGGATGGTGCTGGTGAGAGATTTTGGCTGCTGGTGGTTCTCCCCGCATTTCGCCCTAAAACTATCTGCACCCGGGAAGATTCACATAGAACTTGAAAACCACGGTCGGGTTGGTATTCGGAACATCGTCTTCCAGTCTGGTCCATGCCGGTCGCCCGGTTCCATGTGGGTCACTTCCCGGGTGTAAAAGCCAACCACTCCTTACAAAACCTCTTGCTACGGTGGCTCCTTGGGCCTCCCCGTCTAGGAGACACGTCCGCTTTGTTTCGTGCCAGGGCAAGATCAGCTGGTGTTGCAGCTCTTACACTTCATGGAGATGGTTTGGCCGCACGGATTGGAAGTCAGTGGGGCGAAACATCACCATGACCAGTGGTGGGTGGCACCCAGCCAGAGAGGAGAAGAGCGGGATTGAATGTGGAGGCGTGCAAGCGATCACAATGGTCCGGTCCACTGGTCCAGGTCAATAAGTGACCTGAACTAGGACCCTGCAGGGGTGCAGGGGTACCTATAGGATAGTCTATAGGGTTCTTCAACCTCTGCTGGCAGGTCAAATGATCTCCTTTTGGGATGATCTTGGAGGTCAAAAGATGATAAAAGATGTGACAAACGTACCTCGATTGGTCGAACTGCTCTTTTTCATCTGCGGATTCCGCACGCGGTGCTGCTGTTGTCAATTGGCTCCTTCCTAGAGGTCGGGAATACTCAGGAACTCACCTCATGAAATACTGGAGTTGGTCACACATTTGGTTTCTCCCATTAATTACCTGTAACAGTCATGTATATAATATATCACATCATGTCACTATTTTAGAGATGATAAAAGGCCTGCAACCAGGCCCCATCATCCACGAGGTGTTCAGGCTGAGGAGACTGAACCCGGGTCAGGCTGGACCCCGGTAGGGTTGATTCCTTCAGTACGGGGCTGCGTTCGATCCACAGGAAAGGTTCCCAAAGTACATGTACCATCCTGAATCGGTTTCAAGTGGTTTCAGGAGTAAAAGCCAGATAGATACATAATATGATAGATAGATTGGATTGGATTGGATTGGATTCGGTTCGATTCGATTCGATTAGATAGATTAGATTAGATTATAGATTAGATTAGATTAGATTAGATAGATAGATAGACAAAAAGGACCTATGGAGGAACATGACCACGGATGATCAGTTCACCCTCGTGCCGAGGGAAGAGCGCCTTCCCTCCGAAGAAAGTGAACTGTTGCGTTTCGTTCCTTATCGCAGCTTGGTGTGCGGTCTGTTGGAGTCTAGAGGCGTTTTCTGGAAACGACATCTGGAAAACTCAGGATAATTTGTCTGGAAAACTCAGAAAATCTGGAGTCTAGAGGCGGTTTCGGCGCTTTTTTGGGGGGAGGTTCATGTTCCTTGATGTGTAATTCCTGCTTTGAATGGGAGAGGATCGAGCAATATTGAGTAATAATCTTTTGGGAGTACAATGGGTACGTAGGATTTATAAATCTGTATGAATCTGTGCAGAGTGCAGAAGCACTAGATGGCTCCGCTCAGGCTCAGCTCGTGCAACAGTCCCCAGAGTCAGAGTCCATGTGGGTGTGGTTTTGAACAGACCCCGACCCCGCAACCAATGGTTTTGGTCTATATTCCTTCCAGGGGGGTCGGTGTCCCTAGAAAGCATGTCAAACATCGGCTTTCGAGTGAATGATTCTCGACCAGTGAGGTGACTCACGGCCAGTGAGTGTGACTCAGGTGTGCTTGCGATGACTCCAGACGCTGGCTACATCAAATTTGTTCCTGGTGCAGTCTCCCTCTCTAAAGCGTTTGCCTCGAGCAACGGTGATTTGGCCGCGTGGCTTTCCACACATCAACCGCGGCAGATGACGAAAGAAAGGGCACCCTGGCGAATCCGATCAGCGCATCATCTACGCCCTGGGGAACCCGAGACTCACGTGGAACCTGCAAAAACCACGGTCGGGTTGGTATTCGGAACCTCGTTTTCCAGTTCTGGTCCATGCCGGTCGCCCTTCCATGTAGGTCTCAGAACCCCGGAGGTAATGAATTCAATGGTTCTTCCCAACCCATGGTGACGTCCGGCAAGCCTTTCCACAGGTGCTGAGTAACTTGTGTGGGAGCGCGGCGGCCTATTGCGTGGCCACTTACGTCCTGGGCATTGGAGATCGACATCTGGACAACCTGCAGATCACGCCTGAGGGACATTTCTTCCACATCGCACCTTTGATCGAAAGCAGGGATCGAAGTCAACCACCCTAATCCCTGGACGTTCCGACGTTCGGGGCAGATCCGACATCTTCGCAGCTGGATCTTGCACCCTCATCCCCTTTTCATTTGAAGGTTTGGATTCCTAGGGCAAAGGGATCTGAATCTGAAGGGTGAGGACTAAATCCAAATCTGTGGGAGATGTTCCAGCCACCCAGCGGAGGAGATGTGCTGACTGAGTTGAGATCTTGAAGGACCCTCCTTGGAGGTCTCCTACTCTGAGGGGGCAGGAGACCTAAATGCTTATATGCATACTTATCCCAGACGCTTTATCTAATATATATATATATATATTTACTATTATTTTCCTATTGTATGTAAGATTATAGAAGTTATATATGTATTATATTTGGGTTTATTCTTCCACATGAATTGAGTGGCCTTCGCGCTTCTTTTCCCTTGGCTGTTACAGTCCCTTCTTCCCGCCGATCGGTGCAGGTGGTTCGGCGAAAAGCGGTCTCCACGCCGGGTACCGTTCTCGAAGTATGAGTTGACAAACACAGGACCAGGACCATGACTTCATTACCCCTGGCTCCTTTTTTTTTTGGTATGTCCTTTGTGGAGAAACGGCGTTCTTTTCCGGGTCTGGGATAGATGTTTTCCAGGTTCCTGGACCGCAAGATGTTCAGATGTTCACTCATGACAGGAGGCCGGCGCCAGTGCACGTTTTTTTTGTTCCCCTAAGGATCCAAGTACCCTCTGAGAAGGTGTTTGGGGTGGGTTTGGAGGGTCCAAGTACCTTTTGAGGAGGTACTTGGATCCCTAGGGCATGTTTTTGCTGTCGATTCACAACAGCACGTCTGCACGTGCACTGTCAAAGGCCGAAGGAGCAAGAGTCTGTTTAATTGAGATGGTCCTGGTGCGGTCGAAGATGTTTGGCATTTGGTATCTTAAGGTTATATAGGCCCGCTGTCAAAAAGGGGAAACATAGGGCAGTATCGGCCCTGAGTGTTCGTGCAGTGAAGATCTGCAGAGAGCATCGCAACAACGTTAACAGTCATCAACAGTCTAGTGCCAGATCCACTCTGGTTGCCTTTGCCTTTTTGACTCCTTGTGTAGTAATCCTTTTCAAGACTTGCTTTTCGATCAAGTTTTATAGTTTTGCACGTGCTTTTTGTTTGCGCATTCTTTCATCGATGTTGACTCCTTTTTTCGCGTTTGTCTCATTCAATCTCCCTCTCCCAGCGCTAAAAAAATCCCCATCTGGTTGTCATGGGCTTAGTGTTTCGCCTCACGAGGTGAAGATCCACCGCACCAAATGGGCGCCGTTTGCGCGGCCGTTCGGGGCTGACCGCCGGTGCCTGAGGACTTTGGCTTCATCTTCGGCGAGGACCCCAAGCCCTTCGCGCCGCGGCTCCGCTTGCCGGAGCAGATTGCAACGGTGCTCATGCAGGAGATGGACGAGTCCGGAAATCTCTTAGAGCCTTTGGCGCAGGCTGCCTGTGCGAGGCGTGGGTCTTTTACTTCCTGGATGAGCTCTGCAGAGCTGAGGTGTGAGGAATGCCTGGAGCTGAACCATTCCCAAAACTTGTCAATTACCTGGACCCCGAAGGGGTGGGCCCGGGGTGGTTCATGGACACCCTTTCCGTGGTGCTGGAATCCTTCCGAGCCACGAAAACCAGGAGGACGGATCAACGGACACAGACAAACACGACAGTCGGGTGGGGCCCTCCAAACTGGTGTTCGTAGCCGCTACTAGCCATGATTTATGTAAAGTGTTCTCTTGAACAAGTGGTCTTGTCAGCAGAACACCCCAACCACACTACCTTGCCCAACCCTCCTTGAGACTCGCGGAAGACTCTCCTCCAAAGTCTCCGGCCCAAGGACAAGTGCTTCCGCTTGGCTGCGCGAGCCTACATCGCGCTGCGCCGCTCGATGTCGCTCTGGGTGGCATTGCTGCGCATCATTGGTCAGGCGAAGAAACGTGGTGAGGATGGAAGGTATACCCAGACACTCCATGTATGGAATATGCCTACATTGGCCCCAAAACCACCCCAACTGATTGGCATATATATGGCAGTCCCATGGAGTCTATGGGTATATATAATGAAGGAACACATTCCATCATTTTTGAGGGGGATGGCATGCCCGGACACTCCGTTCACAACCCTTGGTACTTCAAAACAGGGATTGCTTCGACCCCAGACGTCCGACCCCTCCAGTTCGGGCCCAGGGTCGCGTTTGGGTGCTTTTTCTGAGATCATGCCATCCCGCATTCTGCGTGATGTTGGGTGCGGGGCTGTGTCGAGGCCGGCGGCGCGGGCTGCAGCGGTGCGAAGCAAAACGCAGCGGTCTTGGTGGTCATGGATCGCTTACGAGCAGACTTGGACTGGGCCTGTGAGGAAGAGAAAGCAGCGACCGAGTTCCTGTTGGTGTTGACGGAAAGCGCCTGGTTTCATGTCAGAGGCCGTTGGTTTCATGAATTTCGATGCCTGGATTCCAAACAACATGCAAGGACACTCCAAGGGGTGTCTATTTATAGCCCCTTAGCCGTTAAGGGGTGTCCATTAACCACCCCTTGAGGGTCCGCTCAAGCTCCAACTCGGATCATTGCCGGTGATGGTTCTTCGCAGTCGCAGTCGCCATTGCGAAATCCAATCACGTTGGTATATAGAGGCCTCGGTGATCCTCTGTGAATATCTTGAACATCTATCCCAGACGCCCCATAAAACTGGCATATGTACATACCTGGAGCCAGGAACATCTCCCAAAATCTAGTCGTTTTAGATGTTTTGATCGACCATCAAAAAACACAATCCAAGACCTATATGTGCCGGTGTCACAAAGGGCACTCCACGGATTTCAAAGTGTCTTGAATAACAACACCAAAGTTGCTCCATAAAGTTGAGCTTTTGCGTCGTTTTGTTGATCGTTTGCGTTGTATTTTTTGTTGTTGTTTCAGGTGGTTCACGCAACGGCGTTGTGTTTCTAGTCGTTTGTGTTGTGTTTCTAGTCGTTTGAATCGTGTTTATAAATGTTGTGTTGTGTTTTTAAGCGTTTGGGTGTCTCCAGCTCGTTTCCGGCAAGGTTTCATGCGAAAGCAGTCCTTGACTTTTTTGTTAGCCAAACACCCAAAAACAGAACACCAATGCCATGTGGCGTCTCAAAACTGATTGGCACTCAAAAAACGATGATCGTTTGGGGTTCCAGGTATACATTTGAGTGTTTGTTTGTTTTCAGGGGTCAATTCAATTCATGCAGTGTTTCTGCATTGATCAATCAAGGCAGCCGTGCTCCAAAAGCAAGTTGTTTTTCGGACTTTTGAATGTCTCCGGGCGGCAAAACCTGATTCTCGTTTCTTCATCTCTTTCGGGCACCGCGCCGAATGACTTCGCTTAGGCACTGAAGCCTTGTACCCCGTTCTGACTGACAAAGTGCACCAGCTTGGCCTTTTCTGGAAGTAACGTGTGCAACGCATGCGTGGGATGGCACCGTGTGTGTTGCCCAGCGGCGTGCACAGCAGAACTCCCAGAGTGCTGGCGAACTCGGCGGAGCAAAAAGCTCAGGAAAACCACGGCAGAGTGCTGGCGATTGGTCATCAATAGTGAGGAAGTCCCAAAGAATCAAGGTTCACCATCTTCTCCAGAGAGTGAAAAGGGCCGAACTTCAATCTATTTATACCACTTAGTGGTCCATTTATACCACTTAGTGGTCCATTGTGACTGCCAGGTGGGGTAGTTCATGGAAGTTCGTTGGTGGGCCTGGGCGCTCGGTCGGCGCTCGGTGGCCGCTGGCCCTGGGCCGGTGCACCCAAGGCTTAGCTTCCGCGATTCTGAAGCACGCCGATGCCTCTAAAAGCCGCTTGGCCGAGTTCAGTGATGAGTGAGGTAGACCTGGAACTCAGTCCTGACCCCTGCTTTGATAGGAAGTTTGGCAATATTTTGGGTGGTTGGTGGTCCAAAATAGAGGTCAAACTCAGGTTCTAGGGATACGATGGCCCTGCACATCTTCGATCGGTGATCATTTGTTGCAGGGATACAACCCTAAGGATCCAGTCGTCCGGAGCCTCCTATAACAAGGGGTCGAAGCCCTGCCGTCCCCGAAACCAACCCTTGTTTGGGTGGCAGGGGTGCGGATCCTTAGAGAAGGTCAAAAACCCTTGATCCCTGTTTGGTATGAGTTCACAGTCCAAACCCACAGGCCATGCTATCCACGGACAGGTGTTTCTCTCCCAGACAGGTCGTGTGTGGGCTAATCATACCCCAGACACTCCATGGGACTGCCATGTTTGCCACTCAGTTGGGGTGGTTTGGGCAGTCAATGTATAGACATTACAATTACAATATATATATATATATATTATACCAAGTACTCGTACTATATAGTTAGCTACCATCGTCCTCACTGCCAAACCCCACTCGTCCTCACACCGCCGCGAGGAAGCAGCTACAAGAAGGCGGACGACACCGTACGGCTGGTGAACGAGAAGCTCCTGCGTCCTTGGCCCTGGTCCGGTCGTCCTGTTCGGCGCCACCGTTGAGAGACCGTTAGGCCAAAGGTACTCGGACTCATAGACCTGGTAAAAGTCCTGTGATGTGTTATGATCAGTAGGTCCTGGTGTTCATCAGCCGTTGATATCCGTTGATATTGTCAGCGAAGAATGACGGTTCCATGAACAGGAACTTAGAACAACCACTGCCCAGGGGTCGGCTGACAGTCGAGTGATTGCCGCGGAATTGCTTGGGTGGCACTGTCATCGCTTGGGCGGTCTATTCGACAGAAACTGAGCAGAAAGCCAGGGATGCGGGGTTGTTCCCACTGATTCGCATATAGGAACCTAAAAACATTTTTCCCCAAAGAAACACTGCTGGAAGAGAATGTCTCTTCGGTGCAGAGACACGCATTTTTCCACCAAAGAAACATCGCCCAGGCTGGAAAGAAGAAGCCGAAATCCTTCAACAGGAGGCCTGTTCTTCAAGCCTCAAAAAACAACGATTTGGGCAGGAAATGTTGCAGTGATGCAGTGGAGTTTGCTCCGTGTCCTCAGGTAGAAACCAGGTAAGTCGGACTGGGGGTCGTACTTTGCTTGGTTTTCGTCATTTGTTTGTCTTTCTTTTGACTTGGTTTTGCCTATGTTGGTATGCCTGGGAGGGTATAGATGATTCGGGATAAGGGATGTGTTTTTATCTCGGTCAAGCGAAGAGAGAGATGCCCAGGCCCAGAAAGGACCATCCCCAGACCATGTCATACTATCAAGATCCATCAAGACGCATGGTGGCTGAAGAACAGGTCGACTATCACAGGTCGAAGAATGAACGGCCGCCCCCTCTTTTTTCAAAGGAAGCCGGAGAACAGCAAAAATACGCAGAGTCCACGGCTCCAGGTTTTTCACAAAAAGACCCGAGCCGTAGTACTAAGAGCTTGAGGTGTTGATCATGCGACAGTCGGCGCTGGGCACCAATCGAGCGGAAAACATCGGATGAAGGGGCGATTGAACAAGCAATCGAAGACCCCCCGCTCTCCCAGCCCAAGCGCTTAGACCCTTGGTCCAACATCCCTCAATGGTGTTCCTGCATCAGAGTTGGGCTTTCGGTAGGGACCCTTGGTAGGAAGAATGAGGCACCGAGAAGTCGACCATGCCAATGAACATGCAACAAAAGCGACATGGGAGTGAAGAGTGAACGATTCTAAAGGAAAGTCATCTTCCGGAGTCCATTGTCTTTGGCCATTTCCTTCGCAGGCGCGGGAAGATGAGCTCGCACGACAGGTGCAGGGTTTGAGACCGGATGCCGGGAGACATACCTGCCCGATGAATGGACCCCAAAAGCCACTGGGCAGGATATATCAGAACAGTCTTAACAGGAGACCCCACGCCCACTCCGCAAGACATTCAAATTGGAAAAGAACACACTACCCCTAGGGATCCAGTCGTACCTTCTCAGAAGGCACGACTGGACCCTCCTGGCACCCACCCCAGTCCCACCGAGGGTACAGGTCTTCAGGCCATGGTCCTCTTCGCACCCACACGGTCGTTCGTTTTGGAGCCGAGAGGAGACCCGAGTCGACGAGTCGAACCGGAGCCTCACTCCGTTCCACCGAGCCGTCCCGGAACCGTTCGGTGGAACGTGGAACGGTTGGGAAAGTGACTGTCTGCTGACATGTTGGGATCATTCCGGGTGGTTTTAAGAATTTTTAAGATGTCTTTAAGTCTTAAGGGTCAATGCAGGTAAATATATGTAAATATTCCATAACACATGGATTGTTGGGGATTGAGATGTTTCAGTGCGGTGCCATGAAGCAGCGATGCACGCTCTGACAGTGAAGAGTCGTCTTCGTCGTGCCACAAAGTGAAGATGATGCGACTGGATTCGGTCTTCAAGACCCTCACTTTCTGGTGAAAGAACCTCAAAAGTCATCATGTTGATTTGTGACTCCCTTCAACCCAGATGATTCCCAGAAAAGATGTTGCACTCTCGAAGCCTTAATATGTATTAATGATGCATTTTACCGTACGTTATTACTCTGAAAACTGACCTTTGATCATTCAACCCCACCCCCCAAAAAAGAAACCATGAGCACTTCCAAAAGGGTGCTGATGGATAGGGAGGAAGGATAGGGCACCTCCCCTCATCCACATCCACTCACTGACTTAGGGTCTAAAACCAACCCGTTTGGGTGTTCCAAACGTTTGTTCTTTATATCCCCTAGGGATCCAAGTACCTTCTCAGAAGGTGTTTGGGGTGGGTTTGGAGGGTCCAAGTGCCTTCTGAGAAGGTACTTGGATCCCTAGGGATCGTTGTTTTTTCTCCGCTACTGGAGCAGGTTTGCCATGCGATTGACTGCTTCGACTGCTACGGGCACCATACAAGGTCCAGACGTTCTTTTCCTCCGAACGCAAGAACACCCCAACTTCGTCCCCCCATCGTCCCGGACCTCCACGGCCCTGAACTGACGGCCGAGCTGCTTCCACGGGCACCAACGAGGCCAGTCGCCGAGCCGGCGCCGCGGTGGAGGCTGGACGGGAAGAGTGGTGGTGACGGGTGGCGGTGACGGGGGTGACGAATTCTCCGAGCCAGTGACCTCTTTTGGAGTCCAATGGACCGAACTTACGGGCTCCTAACCAGTGAAAATCCAGGACCTTCCGACTGAACTGAAACGATTTGTGGGTGATGCCTGATATAATACCCTAATGTAGTCCCTTGATTTATAAACCCCCCCCTCAACAACCAAGGCCTCCAAAATAATGTATAAGAAAATCAATCAATTGATAATTAAATAAGGAATCCTTAGCTAGCTACCTCTGGAGCTACTCTGGCAATACTAAAATAAAAGGAATCAAGAAACCTAACTTTGAAGACATCTGGAATATTAATTACAATAAAAGGGAATGAATCAATGGAAATAGAACTAACAATTCAAATTTCAATGGAAATCTGAATCCAAAGACCTGCAATTTCAATGGTAAGTAAAGCAAATCAAAAGGCAAAGAAAAGGAATAAAGATTTAAAGCCTCAAATCTCTAGACATTATTCTAGGAGCCCCCCGTAAATAATGTCAGAAAGCTGCTTGCTGGACTACCCCCTTTGCTTGAATCCTTTGTTTTTCAATACTTTTGAATAAGGGATTTTATAAAGAAAGTGCGCACTGACTTTTGGAAACTTTTGGAAAGCTTCAAAACTAAAGAGATTAGGAAAAGTTAATAAGGAAGAATAGAGGGTGATTAAAGCAAATCAAAACGCAAAGAAAAAGGAATAAAGATTTAAAGCCGCAAATCTCTAGACATTATTCTAG